ATGTGCTTTACACAGTTGATGTATGTATGGGTTGTGATAAGAGTTGTATGAGCCCCTAATAAAGCCCCAATTAAAGCAACAAAAAATAAAAATAAGGTGGTGAGAGTGTTATTCTGTTTTAAAGTATGCCTGCTCAGCTTTATAAAAATTAGCTTCTTTTGGATAATTGAAATATATCTAACGCGACTATGTCTTTAGGAAGAGGTATGAAAGGAACAGTAAGATCTCTTGAGTTTATAACACAAGGTGAGGAAGTCTAGATCGATGGACAAGCATATAGGCAGGTAATATTTGGATTCAAATACTACCTCTGACACTTGCTAGTTAATGTGATCTGGAGCCATTTTCAAGCCCAGAGTCTAACCCTCTCGCTGTCGTCCAGTCGATTCTGACCCATAGTATCCCTGTAGGGCAGAGTGAGTGCTCCTTCGGCTTCTGGGACTGGACACCTTCATGGGTGCAAACGGCCTCCTCTTTCTTCTGCAGAGTCACTAGAACCACCGACCCTGTGGTTAGCGGAGCAGTCCTTAATCCATGGTGCCACCAAGCCCCAAGCATAATATTACCCACTTTATAGAGGAAGGGTCATTGAGATAAGGCACTTAAAATACTTAGCACAGGGCACGGGCACAGAGGAATTGTTCAAAAATGGTTTGCTGTGGCTGCTATTGTTTGTATGTTCATTGTTTTATGTAGTCCAAAGAGTCTTGATAGCATAGTCATGGTGATGAGTTGGGCTGCTAAGTACAAGGTCAGCAGTTCGAACCACCAGCTGCTCCTTAGGAGATAGACAGGGCTTTCGACTCCAGTAAAGAGAACCTCACAGGGGCAGTTCTACCCTGTCCTATATTGGGTGACTGTGAGTGTGTGTGGACTCGATGGCAGGGAGTTTATGTCGCCCAAGTCGGGATTGGCTTCATTTTCCCAGGTGAGGAAAGAGGTTGCTGGAAGTTTAGTTGCCTAATGGGGAACCGTATCTATCTATTTGCACAGCCAATCTTTTTGTCTCATTGTATTGTGCTATATCATCCTTCTGAATGGTACTTGTGTGCATTCACATGTCCTTCCCCAGCTTGCCACTCGAAGTAGGGCAGGTGTCAGTGCCTTCCCTTTCCAGATGAAGCAGAGTTACAGGTCCCAGGAATATCTTGTCCATAGCATTGACCCTGACAACTTAATGCAAAATGTGATCCTGAACCAGGACTTTTATTAGTTCTTTTTGGTTTATAAGAGACCCTTGTGAGATAATGAGTGAAATTTGAATAAGGTCTAATTAGGTAATAGTTCTATATCAGTGCTTATTTCCTGGTTTTAGTAGTTACATAAGAAAATGTCATTGTGTCAGGAAATTTAGGAGTAAAAGGGGCATTATGACTGTAATTTACTTTGAAGTGGTTCAGGAAAGGAAACACCCATCAATATGCATACACATATTAGCGGGAAATGATAACATGAACTTGGTATAAAATTATTTATGGAATCTGGGTGAAAAGTATAAGGGATTGCCTTTTTCTTTTTTTGCAATTTTTCTTTGAAATTATTTCAAAATACAAAGTAATAAAGATCCAATATAACAGGTAATAAGTAATTTTCAGTAGACCTACCCTGAGGTGATGGCGCTTACATAATATGTACATATCACCCAACTGAAACTAAACCCACTGCTATCCAGGCGATTCCAATTTGCAGTGACCTCATAGGAGAGAGTTGACCTGCTCCTTGGGGTTCCTGAGACTATAAATCTTTATGGGGCACATGAAACAAGCATGCTAGGATTCTGTTTGATGTGGCGGTGTCCAGGCTGCCCCCCTCTGCTTCTCTCCCACGTCCAGATCTACCCACTCCTTGAATAGCAGCACCGGCTTCTGTGTCGGATTCACACGGTTCTTTGTGGCCGCCCAGCTCCAGACTCTGCTCTCACCTGTGCCCTGCAGCCTGTGAGCTCTCAGCTCCTTGGTTTTCTTTCCCACAAAGTGCCAGTAACTGCCCTGCCTGTATCACAGTCGTGAGAATAAAATGAGAGAATAAAAAGAGCATTTGGAAAAGTTGGAAGTGTTGATATAAATGTAAGGTGTAATTAGGTAGATGATGATATTTGTGAGGATACAAAGTCATGTACCAAGGGGTACCCAAAACACTGGAATAAGGCTCTGCTAGGTGAAGCTTTCGTAGTATGCATTTTTCCCACTGGGTGAGCATCCAGCAACTTGCTCTGAGTTAGTGCACCCAGTGGCGGCATCTGGGAAGTTTCTCTCTGGTCACTGAATTTTTTCGTGAAAGCATTTATGCTGAAATCTTGATTTTTGTGATAGCAAATTTAAGAGAACAGTGTGCAGCTGTGTAATTTTGTTTCGGTGGGGAAAATGCCGCAGAAACTGTTGTGATGTTGAATACAGCTTACAAAGACAGTGCTATGGGAAAAACTCAAGTGTACAAGTGGTTTTCTCATTTCAAAAAAGGTGAAATGTTGATTGATGATAAACCTCATTCTGGACGTCCGTCAACTTCCCAAATGGACAAAAATGTCAACTCATCGTGCATTCAGAATTCATTCCACCAGGTCAGACTGTTAATCAAGCTTTCTATTTAGAGGTTCTGAAAAGATTGCCTAACAGTGTGCAACATAAAAGACCTGATTTGTGGCAGATGGGGGACTGGTTTTGCTACCACAACAATACACCTGCTCATGCAGCCATCTCAGTGCGCCAGTTTTTGGCAAAAAAGAGCATGCCTCTCGTCCCACACACCTTACTCACTTGACTTCGCTCTGTGTGACTTCTTTTTGTTTCCACCAATGAAGACAGACCTGAAAGGACAGTGATTTGATAGTGTAGAAGAGGTGAAGAAAAAAACGAGGGAGGTGCTATCAGCCAGCCAATCAGATGAGTTTGAAAAATATTTCCAAGAATGGAATTATAGATTTGACAAATGTATTAAGTGTAATGGAGAGTACTTTGAAGGTGATAAGGTTGTTTTGTGAAAAAAATTAAATACATAGCTTTGGGGGGGATAATCCCATTGTGGAGGGTGGGGGACACCCTCTCCTATAAAAGGAATTTCTAAAACAAGGTTAAACAGGATTTTTTAGGATCTGTGGGTTGTTCATTCTCAACTGTTTTGCGACTTCGGCTCTCCTCATCCCAAACTCCACAGACTTCATGCTGTTGACAGTCGTTTTTGAGTCAGAACTGGGGAAAGCTCCGAAGCTCCAGTTGCAGGAGGTCACAGCACCTATTCTTGCCAGCTCTGTGCCCTGTGTGGTCCTTTATAAAAGTGCAGTACCACTTTCTGTGGTGGTCTCTCTCCTACGGGGTTCTTTATTTTTAATCTGGCATGTCTCACCCTGTGAGGCTTGTCACTGCAGTGACTGTGAGTGTGTGTGAGACTGATTCCAGAAGAGTTCTCGTTGCAGTCTGCAGGAGGCCTAGAATAGACGAGAAAAGCAGTGTGGAACAGCTTGGATCTTCGTAGCCATTTCCCCGTCACCGGGCCTTACACCAGGCGGTCAGTGCGGGTGCAGAATGGGGCAGTGAATCCAGTCCACTTTATGTTGAGGTTCATGCACAACTTTTTCTAATCTAGCATTGCTCAAATGTTTTTTGTCTGTGAACAGTTGTCTCTTACAAATGACTTCGGACTTCGGTTTATATGGGTTCTATTTACTAATGTTTACTGTATTGGAAATTACAGCGGAAACTTTTAAAACAATTATCGAGTCATTTAAGAATAACAATAATACATGCGTTGCATGGTGATATTATTTCTTAATGAAAGACATATTTTTCCAAAGTTAAAAAAAAAAGCAGTGAGGGAGAGGCATGGCTTTGTGAGTCTACACCGCTCTTGAGTGCCTTTCAGGGAAGCTCTTTGCGGGGCCCTGTTGCAGGTAGAGCCAGTAGCCAGGTGGCTGGATGGTATGGTAATCTGGCCCCAGAACAAGGCTGATGGGAATAATTTCTTCACAGTGAAGAACACATCCAGGAGATGGGTGCAAGTCCACCTTAATCCCCCAGGTTGAAGGTTGTTGACATTGCTGTGCCCAGACACCTTGTCAATCCATGTGCATCGGCTCACCCCTCCCTTTAGTGCAGGTGTGTGCTCCTGTTGGTGAGTGGCAGGCCATTCCTTAAGGGGAAGGTACGGTGCTGGCCACTGAGGATAAAGGAACGGGCAATGCCTTTGCTGTCACAGACTGTACAGCAACATGACCTAAAGTATCGCCTAAGGAGTATTGTATTGAAATACCCTCCTGGTGCAGGATGCTCTGTGGGCATACAGTGGGCATGCTTTAGCTTGGGGTCAAGAAAGCCTTTTCTTTGAAGATGCTCCTGATGAGTACTGAAGGTTGAGAAACCATGGAAGGGCTTCATTTAGTTTAAATGGTAGTAAGGTGGAGGCCTTGCCTGTGAATTAGGAGTGGAAAAGTAGCCAGGTACAGTTGGAATGCGTGCCATTGAGTGCGGATCACTAATAGTTTGGAGATGAGTACTGTTGATCCTATCAGAGCCTTTTTTGTGGGGCGTTGTGAACTCCAGTGGGTGGGCCATGATCATGAGAGGTCTGTGCTTTAGACAGTACTTCTCCAGTCTTGGTGTATACATAAGTGACCTAGGAATCTGGTTCAAATGTAGGCTTAGATTAAGTAGGCCTGGGGCCTGACATTCTGCTTCTCTGACAAGTTCATAATGATGCTGATGCTGCTGGTCCACAGACCATACCTTGAGCAGCAAGCCACAGATTGCAACATGGCCAGTGGGAGACTTTAAAGTACGTGACTCTAGAGAACAGAGGAGAGCTGTCTCTGGGGTTCTGCAGGGGTGCAGATCTTTATGGAAGCAGACCGCCACGTCTCTCTCCCTTGGAGTAGCTGGTGGGTTTGAACAGCTGACTGTTTTGTTTAGCCGAGCGCTTAACCACTGTGCTACCAGTTGCTCTGATCCTCAGTAGGGAGAAGTATTTGATAAAACACAACAAGCAGGATCCAAGATGGCGGCAGCAGGAGGTTGATGAAGGAGCTTGAAGAACTCCGCAAATGTAGAATGAAAAACTTCCCTAACATCCAGGTTGATGAAGCTAATTTATTGACTTGGCAAAGGCTTATTGTTCCTGACAACCCTCCATACGACAAGGGGGCCTTCAGAATTGAAATCAACTTTCCAGCAGAGTCCCCCTTCAAACCACCGAAGATCACCTTTCAAACAAAGATCTACCACCCGAACATCGATGAGAAGGGGCAAGTCTGCCTGCCCGTGATTAGCGCTGAAAACTGGAAGCCAGCCACCAAAACTGACCAAGTCCTCCAGTCCCTCATAGCACTGGTCAGCAACCCCCAGCCTGAGCTCCCACTCCGGGCCGACCTAGCCGAAGAATACTCTAAGGACCGTAAACAATTCTGTAAGAACGCCGAAGAGTTTACAAAGAAATACGGGGGGAAGCGACCTGTGGACTAAAATCTGCCATGAGTGATTCCAGCGAGTGTGAGCAGAGACCCCAGCAGTGCATTCAGATCCCTCCCCGCAGAGCAGGGCTCTGTGGAGAACTGACGCACGCGCCACCGCCCGGCGTCCGCTTGTGGCACTCACTACCTTTCTACAGTTTTCTTAATCAAAAGTGGTCTAGACAACCTGTAAAGAAAGGATTAAAATTTACCATGTTCTCCTTCACAAAAAAAACTAACCACAACAAGCTGTTTGGACCCAAAGTGTCCTGCTGCATATTGAATACTGAAGTTAATTCCAAGCACTTGGCATTACACAGAGGACAGGAAAGCTAAGGATTGAGATGGATGCCACTGGCATGAAACAAACAAACAAACTCACTGCCCTTGACTCGATGCTGGTTCTTGGTGACCCTAGAGGACAGGGTAGAACTGCCCCTGTGAGTTTCCGAGACTGTCACTTTTTACAGGAGTAGAAAGCATGCAGACTGCCTGGTTGTTTCGAACTGTAGACCTTACGTATCGCAGCCCAATGGGTAACCACTGTGCTACCAGGGCTCGTGTCAGTGAATATTCCAGAACCATTTGCGTGGTAAGGACCAAGTGAACTAAATGGCCATTAGCCTGCCTAGGGAAACGGGCAGGCACTGGGGATTGATGGCCACCCTGTAGTAATTATGCGGGCCCCAGAAAATTATTTAGGTGACAAGCAGCTAGAGATACTGGAAAGGAGGTGCACTTTATTTGGAAACAGAAGAAAGTTCAATACTACTTCTTGTTAATCATGGATGATGGATCCATAGATGAGAGTGTTACTAAATGGATCCAGGTAACAAATGGTTGTAAGTGGCTAAGGTAGGAATCGAGTGGGGGTTGGGCGTGGAATCATCTTCTAGTTAACATTGACTTTGAGTGATAGTTAATAATGACTTTGAAAGAACACCATCAAACCTGATGATTACCGATATCTTCTCTTTATTTCACTGGCACCCAGCATAGAAGCCTATAGTACTGTCAAAAGACTTTGCCTGTTTCAGTGTAGTATTATGGGAAATACAGCTTTTTGTGGCAGTTCTGCTGTAAGACTTTGTTGAAGATGTTTTAGAGCTTTTTAGCAAATTTATTTGGATCAGAGAATTAAAGTATCCTCAGATCCCCCATAAACCCTATAATGAACTGTGTACATAAAACTATTACATAAATCTTGTGTTCATTGTGGTGTAAAGTTAATCATTTGGAATGAGTGTCACCTCCTTGGACGTGGCCAAATCACTTGACCTTCAGAGCATGGAAGGAGAGGAGTGTGTTTCAGTGTCTACACTGATGAGCGTCGTTTTGTTTGTTTATTTCTCTTTGGACACTGTTTAATGTCGGTGGGCCGAAGGGTTCCAGCTCAGATCATCATTTTCACACCGAACCCTTGAGCCCATTTCTCCGGTCTCGTCCGTGCAGCCCGCGGTCACTTTGTTCTGCTGTTCCTCTTTCCCTCCTTCCTCCTTTCCTAGCCCTTCTGAACTTTGCCCTTGCTGCCTTTTGAGCTCAAATGATGGAGTCTTTTAAGGTATGCATACTGTATTAATGTTGTTCCCTTATAGATCAGGCTGTCTATTGTTTAGCTGAAAATTGACCCCCGGGGGTGGGGGGGTGGGGTGTCCATGTCTGTGTGTGTGTGCACATGCCTGTGCGTACATGCAGTGACTAAGGGCCACGTCTCAGGGCTTCCATGAGAAGCTTGATCTTTTTTGAATGATTTTGCATTTTGTTCTACAATTTCTTCCCACTCTGTTCAGGACTTTCCAATGCGATCTCCTTCAGAGCAGTTGGTAGCAGAGGTCCAGCACCTTCTAGTTCGTCTGGTCTCAGGGTCATACAGACCGATGTTTGGGTGGTGTATTAATTAGTCTCCTGGACTAATTGTTTCCATGTGTGTTCGATTTTCATTACTGTTCTTTCCTCCAGACATGGACAGACCGGTGTGCGCACCTTAGATGACTGCGTTGCTACTCAACAAAGTAGCATGTCGACTAGTGTCTTTGTGGATGAGAACATCGTTTAGATGGCTTGTCTTCTAGCTTTTGTACGTATTAGGTAAGAAGATATAGAGGCTTCAGTGACTATGGAATCGGGCAGCTGTCTCAAACTTGGTAAAGCTCTGTAAAGGCAGAAATGGCTCAATAAAATTAGAAGCCCGGTCCATTCCTTGGGCCTTCAGTATATGACAGTGTTTCAAAGCTCTGCATAAGGTCACACACTTCTTAAGGGCAAGGATGATGAGACTCCAGCTTTCATTGTTTGGACATGCAGTCCAGAGGGACCAGTCCCTGGAGGACACCATGCTTGGTAAAGTAGAGGGGCAGTGAAAAACGAAAAAGAGGGAGACCCTCAACGAGGTGGATTGACACAGTGACTGCAGCAGCGGCCGAGGAGCAATTATGAGGATGGTGCGGGGCTGCTGTGTTTCGTTGTGTTGTTGTGCATAGGGTTGCTATGGGTCAGAAGGGGCGACGGCACCTGGCAGCAATAACAGACCGGGCCGGATCACCTTTGCGAATTACTGTAGGTAGTCTGTGTGGGTTATGGGAAGGGCGTGAGGATGGCCCATGTGTGTGACCGACCGCATTTCCTTGGACATCTGCACTCGACACTGGTTCCATGTGCTGCCATTCTTTGGGTGAAATGATTAAGTCCTGACGCAGCAGTGTGGCTGGTGGCAAGGTGGGATCCCGCCAGGCTTTGGTGGTATTGGGGTCAGTGAGCAGTTGTCATGTACCTTTGTCACCTGGGAATATGGTGACGACCAGACAGGCCTGAGGTAGCTCCTCCTCACAGACTCACTCCGCTGCATTCCAGAGACAGCCCCACGCGAAATGTTTCAACCAGGAAAATAAATACATCTTCAAGCCATTTTATTGAAAACCCTTGGAAAGTGGAGAGTCTGCTATTAGTGTTCCTTCTTCAAAACCTAGACACATACTACTAGAAACAAAGAAAAAACACTTTTATTTTCAAAGCAAAGCTGCTTGGAAATCTGGTGTTAGTCTGGATATGTGCTCCTGAATGCCTGTGTGAATCAGTTATTGTTTTAATAAAATGTGCATTGCTTTCCACTGGCTAGTGACAGATTTAACATAACACTCCAGTGAGACTGAGGGCCGCTCTCATTGGGCCAAAAGAACTGTGTGGGAGAAACCAGAAGGTGGGATCTAGGATTCAAGCCTAGGCTGTTCTGCTTCGCCCTGGGCTGCATGCCTGCAGGAACCCTGGAAAGAGAAACTTCCTGCTGTCAAAGAGCCGCTGGAAACCCACTGTGGCTGACAAACTGTGTTGCATGTACCCTGGATGTTTGCGCGCTCTCGTTGACCTTACGACTTTAAAGAAGACAACAAAGTCCCCAGTGTTGGATGCTGCTTTGGTTTCTCCTCCCAAGTATCTTAAGTCCTTTTGTACTTCACTAGATTGTATTTCAAAATTATGTATTAAAACTCTTGATTTGGGTAATATATGTTCGAAAAGTTCATTCGAGTGCATCAGTGTTGGAATATTTGTGTTGCAAACCATCATGCAAAAACTTCAGCCCATGTCAAAGTGAATGTAGTATTTGCAACCGGTTTATTTTAGGACCCCTTTTTAATGCCTAAATTTAATCTGCTCTACAGTGGATAAGGCTAGAAGCCGCTGTCCCGTGGATCACGATTCCTGGTGATCCCACCTGTCTGAGGGGACTGTGTCCCACAGAGAGCTTTAATGGTGTGTTTCCTGCTTAATACTGTGTCTCGGTTTTGTCAGCAAATTCTCCTCTGGTGACTCCATGACACTGGGTATGGTCTTCACAGTGTGGGAGGCTTCTCACAATTACGTTTTGGTGGTTCTATGGCCATTCATCTCGTTTCCCTGCCCCCCCCCC